CAAACCATAACCTCACAGTAAAAACAAAAAACATTAAAAAAACATAAAAAACCCCCATAAAGAATAGAACATAAAACATAAAAAAAAAAAAAAAAAAAATCCACAGTAAAAACTAAAAACATTTAAACAGAAACATATGGGAGTTCTTTTTTCTTTCAATATTAGCAGTAAAATAATTTATTTAAATTATTAGTGACAGCCTTCTAACCTTTAAAATATGACATTCCAAGTGAGTAAATTCCAGGTTAGTCTTTTTCTTAGAGGTACTGAAAGCAAATTCAAGCCTAAAAATTATTGGTGATTACTGGAAGTGATCATGATTTGATTATGCTTGTATGGAAACTAATAACACACATTCTCTGGTGCATACCAGGAGCTTGTTTCACAAGTGTAGAGATAATTATGGGCTTAATCAGCTGGCTAATAGAAACTACAGAGAAAAATATGAATTATTGGGAACTACTTAAGAAAACGTATCAGTTCTTTAAAATACCCAGTTGCCTAAATCCTTCTGGATTATTTATGATTATTTTCAGAGAATAAACATCTGTACATATATTCCAATCAAAATATTGAATTGTTCACTCTAATAATATCCTTAAATCTAAATTTGTCCATCTTCAGCTTTCACACTTAGTGTTTCATGCAACATTTTATGTGAGACTGAAATTATTATGTGTCTCTTCCCTATAGATTGTGATCTAATTAACCATTTGTGTTTTTCTTGAACTGATCAGTTGAGCTCCTCAGGTTTTTCATTCTAAGGCCTTGTTGAACCCTTTAATATACCATGTTGCCCTCCTCTGAATCCTCCAGTTTTCCACCAAACTCTTCAGTGTAAGAATGTCATTCCCTTGGCCTCCAGTAATAACAGAATTAATACATGCAAGGATCACACCTTTAGGTTGTGACACCAAAGTGGATGCCCATATTCAGAAGATCACCCACCAGTATTTTTAACTCTTTTCCAGCCCCTCTGCTTTCCTATGAAAGATTTCTGTGTGCAGCTATGAGAGATAGTCCAACATTTGACCATATTGCAACTTGTAAATTTATATATATATCTATATATATACATCAAGTAAATCTGATTTTTTTGAAAATTCTAGCTTTTTCCACATCTGTCTGACTTCCTCATAGCCAAACACTGATCTTTGAAGATATCTGTGAATTTTTTTTTTTTTTTTTTTTTTTAATTGACAATGATTTTGCTTTTTCAATGAGAGATGACATAAGCTTTGATTTATAGTGCAAACATTTTTTTTCTCATAGGATCTTTCAGTTCACCTAATTCGTCAAGATTTATTATTTATAATCCTTTTTTGAAATCTACTGTTTTAACCTGTTGTTGTTTGAACTCAGCCATCAGCCAAACACCACACAGCGGGTCACTCCTCCTTCCACCCCATCCAGGAAATAGGGGAAGGACAAAAGGAAAAAACTCATAGGTTGAGTTAAAAAACAGTTTAGTGATGGTAATAACACAACACAATAATAATAGAAAGTACAAACTGGTAATGCACAATGTAATTGCTCACCACCCACCAACTGATACCAAGCCCACTCTCAGCCAGCAATCCTGAAAGAACAAAGATCCTGCCAACCAGGAAGCATAACTTCACATGATATGGAATAGCCCGATGGCCAATCCGGGCCTGACAGTCCAGCTGTCCCCTCCCAGCTCCAGAAAATGTAACTCTATGCTAGATGAAATCCAGGTCAGGCTCTCCAGATGTGTTCCCTTCCAGCTCAAGAAAATGAACTCTATCTCAGCTGAAACCAGGACACCAGTGTTTAATTCATCAGGTATGCACCACATTAATTTTGTGTCACTTGAGTTTCTTAACCCTAAGGTGTGTGGCATCAAGTCATGCATTACAGAATTCTATTGCATTGGCACTTGTGCATCTGTCAGATAAACTCATATTCTCATAAAAATAAAATGAAGCTAGTTTGGCAAGCCCTATTTCTCAAAACTATGTGGGGAGTAATATTCATTACAATCACACCTTATTTTATCAAGATTAAATTTCATACAAGCCATCTGTGCATTTTTGAAGTAACACAACAGTCATTATATTGATCAATATTGGAGATGGGCTGGACATGTTTCTAAACTGCATACTATTTTCAAATGATTTGACTAAACATGAATTAGGAGCTCATCTGTGGAAGTCTTGGCTCCTGGTATGGGTAAGATTAGGTTAGATGATTGCAAATACTCTTCATTTGCTTAAAAGAAACAATTTAAAAGCAGTTGCTTAGATGAAACAGTCTATGAAATAGTTAAAAATCTCTGAGTATACAACAAAAGGCCACCATGCCAAGATACACTGAGCATATATACTATCATTGGTGGATCAAATCAGTACTTAGTGACCTCAAGGAAAAGTCTCCTCCAGATAACTAGTCCCTTCAATTCCAAGCATGAGAAGCTTTTTCTTTTTATTTTTATTTTTTTTAAAAAAGGAGAATTCACAGCTGATTTTCAGTGAGCCTTGTATCATGATTACACCAGCTGTCATATGTTAAATGTCATAGTGTCAAAATAAGTGACTCTTATTAAGCAATACAAGAAACAGTCTTTGACACAAGGTCAAAAATGTGTTTCCATAACTACTCTGGATTTTCCCTTGTCAGGATACACCACCCACAGGCATAAAACAAGGTAGTAGGTAAGTACAGTCTGCCATTTACATGTCTCCTGGCTAAATTCAGCTCCTTGAAACTTTTTTTTTTTTTTTTTTTTTTTTTTTTTTTTTTTTTTTTTTTTTTTTTTTTTTTTTTTTTTTTTTTTTCATTGCTGATTAAGGGCAGTTCTGTTGCAAGCAGCTGGACAGCTCTGGATTCTGCCTGCTTTGTATGTCAGTGTCAAGGCCAAGATCTGGACTTACTCAAATGCCTGTTCAGTGCTGTGAGTATTGATCAGCTGCACATTGACAGCTGTATGCCAATGTGTCTTTCTGGTACTTTGGACTGGACCATATAACCATAATAATTATGCAGTGGTTTGTAGTGTTAAAGACATTTGTTTTTTTCTATATACTTTTGCATTTCAGCAGCCATGAGAGTGATTTCCATGCATTTGTCAGTCTGAGTTAATGCAGTGCAATGCTACTCTCTGATCCCAATACATTAGATAATTGCTCTACTACATTGATGAATATTAAACCTAACATTTTAATGAAAATTTTAATTTTCCCAAGGACAAGCATCTTCTGTGTAACCTGAAATCAACAAGATTTCTATTTAAACCTTTCATTTGAATATATTTCAACCTTTGATTCCATCAACCATTTAAACACACTCTTTAATCCATTTTTAAATTTAAATGATACTTTTTGCACACATTTCTGGCTTAGAGATTGCTTTTTTTGACTGATTATATCTGTAGAACTAGAAAAATTCACTCCTTAGGGGTAGATTAGTCTTTGAATCCTTTGTCTATCAACAAGCAAGGCAATGTCTCCTGGATTTTCTTTAAATCCACTTTCTTACTGAAATTATACATTTTAATTTAAAAAAAAAATCACCTTCCAGTAACAATTCAGATCTAATTTTTCCAGAGCCGGCTAAATCTTGATGTGAGGAGAATATATACTGGTGCAATAAATTAGTCACTTTCCTCTAGATATTCTTCCTGATGAATTTGTCTTTGATTTATCAAGACATTCAAAGCCTGAACACTAGTTAAAGTTATTCTGAAGAAAGCAATTTGAAATTACATATTAAGAAAAACTATTAGACTTTTTCCTAATCATGGTTTGAGGCTCATTTAAAAGGCATCAGGGGAATGAAGCATTTTAAAGTAAGCTAGAGGAATTACAGCACTTAAAGGCTGTATCAGCCTGTCTGAGATTCAGCTGTGATTTCAATGAACTTTTGTGGTATGTTACAAGACGTTGTGTGCGTAGTAAAGGGACAGAGACCCCAGGCAAAACACTCAGGAGCAAAGCCTGTAGAGGGATGGCATATCTAGCATGAGAATGTGCCCTGACATTTAGTGCACAGTAAGTTTAAAAAAATCAAAGTCCTTATTTAACCTGGGGTTCTTTAAGCATCAGTCTCTTCAGAAATGAAGATGTCTCTGGAAGACCAGTTATGGGATGTGCACTGCCAAAAGCACTAGGAGGGTATCTGTAGGTGTCTAAGAGAATCATTATGGAAATATGTAAGTTTACCATGTGAATATTTTTCTTGGCTTAAAACATATTTCATCACAAAAATAAAATAGAAATAAGTTTGCAATTTCATTTGTGGTTGACACATCACCACTCCATACTTTTCGTCTTTGTAGAGACTGATGTCTAATATTGGTCCTGTTATTAAATGGTAAACATAATTTTGACATACAGGCTGGTTTATATCTTCTGATCCTGAAACTACATGGAGAGTGTCTAGGTAAAAATATATTGGCTTCATTTCTTTTCTCAGATACAGTAAAATGCTCAAGGTGTTTTAATAAGACTTTGTATAAATAGCATGATGTATTTTCAATATTTTCTGTTATCCTATTCTCTCTGGAATCAGAATTCTGTTTGTTCTTGAGGATGGGTTTTTTCATTATAGAGAATTTCATTTCCACCTTCTTCTGAGTTACTCTTTTTCCTGACCTCAGCTATCTTTTCCTTTTTCCCATAATGTTTGTAGTTTACAATCTCAGACTGTCTTCTAGAAGAAAGTTTAAAATGTAGATGACTCTTAACTAGATATAGTGTTGCTTGTCTTTATTAAAGCCTTTTGATATAATAGTGATGGTATTGGAACTGATGTGGGAAAAGAAGAAATACAGAAGTCTCTACCCACCTTGAAAGAAACAATGAATAGTTTAGGACAAATAGAACATCCATGTGAAGTGTCAGCTAAAATTATCCAGCAGAATTCATAGTAAAAGATTTTTCCTGTTTTAATTACATCTGATAAATTTGCAGTCATTGCCTTATCCTAAAAGTCCTTGAAATTAAGTTTTTTTGGAGAAAAGGAGAGGGAAAATGACTTACCTTAGCTGCTTTACATAGTACTCAGCTGCATTTTCTTTAATTTTCTAATATGCAAGGCTTATTCCAATCTCTGCAGCTGTTAGTCTAATTGGATGATTTCCTGTTTGAAATGCAGAATAATTTAAAGTGACTAGCAGTTGTTCAGGGAACCTCCCTTTCTAGGACATAACTTAATCTGACATATTCAAAGCTCATCAGAGATTCAACATCTTTTCAAACTGATTACTACTTCCTCCATCACACTCTAAGTTCCTTGACTTCCATTTAAGTACTCTAATTTAGAGCTTGATTATTCAAATGAAACTAAGAGGAAGAATCAAGATTTTTTTTTTTTAAATGTGATTCCTCAAACAGCATACTACATGTAGTCTTCTGTAGTATTCATGCGATTCGTCATCTTCTGTGATGCAACATCCAGCTCTGTATTTTCTATTTTACCTTCTTTTTATTTTTTTGTTTGTTTGGTTGGTGGTTTAGTTTGGTTTTGTGTTTGGTTTTTTTTTTCTCTCACTGTGTCATACATTTTCATGGAATTTTCCTCTTGATAGTGTAAAGCCATAATGCTTTCTCCACAACCCCTTGAAAACATGAAAATTCTTTCTCAAGTAGTTGTTTAGGAAAATAATCCATGTATCTCTCATTAATGTTAATGAAGAGTTGCTTAGGTTAAAACCTATATCTGCAGAATAAGCTCTTGAATGGTAGGTAGAGGGAAAAACGTTTGCAAACAGACTATGTAGTAGGCTTCAAAGAAGGGACTGAGTGGAAAAAATATAGGAATTCTTTCACTGAACCATAATGGGAACAGTTCACTTGAGGTTTCATCTAGAAAATTTCCTTCTTTGTGAAAATGCCTGGGCCAGCTCACTTAAAAAAAAAATTACTCAGAAGATAGATGAGACAAATAAGATTTAAGATATAGACTGAGTCCGTGGATCTCACAAACTCAAACAAATGAAAGACGCTAAAATAAAAACCCAAACCACTAAATAAATGCATTCTAATACAAATCTTGCATGTGTGTTCATGGTGAAGGAACCTTGAAAACCTCTTCAATTATAATTTTCTAGCCATTAACATTTTCTAGCTGAGAACTTAGAAGACTTCTGATTAAAAGTGGCAATTCTCTTGTTTCAATCTGTCAGTACTGTTTTACCTTACATAGCTACCAGGCAAGTTTTTCCTCAGAGGTAGGAATGAAAAAGGAGTTCAAAAGTTGAAACTAAAAGCTGACTGGAGTATAAAACATTGAGGGTGATTTTCTTAGTTTTTTTCTGAGGGGAACAACATGTTTCAAATTTTGGCTATCACTGGTCAAGTGTATATAGAGTTATATGCATAATTTTTTTTTTGTATTTATTTATTAATATAATTAATACATTTTATGAGGTCAAGCCTAAAAAAACTGACAATAATTTATCTGAAAGAAATTGGCATGTTTTGAGCAATCAACATGAGACTAGTGTAAAAATGTCCCTTCACAATACTACCCATTTTACAAGACAAAATCTACTTTTGGCAGTGCACAAAAATGACATTCACATGAGTAATGAACAGGGTATGAATAAATCTTCTAGCTTTATGGTCACCTTGAGTAATCAAACTTTTTTCTAAATTCATGCTCAAGATTGTTTTGAATTTTTATTAATTTCTTAATAAATTTAATTGTGGCATCACACAAGATGAAGGAAAATGTTTGTGCAATATTGAGGCATGCATTAATATGTACCCTATGTAGATATGAAGCAATGTACTAAGTGCCTCAATGCTCCCATGAAGGAAACTGAACTTTCTACTCCAGGAGGTCCTTTATGGCTGTGCTTCTGTTAGCAAGTAGTGACAAACCAGTTGGAGTGGATCATCTGTACGGAAAGCAATTGGTGGTGAGGTTCTGGAGTATTTTTGGGTTTTTTTTTTCTTTACTTTAAGTTAACTCTACTTTGCTCCCATGGACTGAGTGACCACTGGCTGATGGGGTGCAATAACCATTCTTCTGGAGCTCCTCTTCCAGTTAATTTCTTCTAAGAAGATACAGTTCATGATCTCCATGACCACTCTCTGATATGAAACAGAACATAGAGAAGAGCAGGAAATTCACTTTGGAAGCATAGTGCTGTCCCACTCTTATTAGATATAACCTGTTAGTCCAGTATTTCTTCAAGACACCAATAATATATTGCTATTGAGATCTCTATGTAATATTTCAGGTCAGTTCTCACAACATAAGTCAATGTTCTTTGATACTCTGCTAAATTCTCTTCTTACAATATCCAAAATTAAGAGAATGTCAGGTGAACTAGATTAACACCCTTCTTGCTGACTGGGGCTAATATTTTGGCTTTCTATTCCTGCAAAGAAGAGCAAAGGGAATTTTTGTAGGAAAACTTATAAAAAAAACATTAAAAAAAAAAAATTTCACCAGTTTGTTTTGAACCTCAGATTTTTTATAAAGCATATTACAGATGTGGTTGTACATGGAAGAATCAGTCAGCAGAGATTTAGAGCTAGTTAATGAACACTGCTTTATAGAGTTTTTATTTAGGAAAATTAGATGGCATTGCTTTAATCTCTTTAAAGGACCTATTATCTTGCAGCTAACGTCCAAGAATTTGTCTTATGTAAGCAATTAGAGTGAGTAGGGATCTCAATATAGCAGTTTGACAGAAGTGTTAAATATAGATATCATCTGCACACACTGGAAATGGTGATTGTTTCTTCTAAGAACGCAGTCCAAAAGTGAACAAAAGTGAAAGAGGAAAGTTCCCAGAAGGCTTTCTTGGCTCAAATCACAACTATGTTAATCAGAGCTTTGTTTTGCACTGCCTGCAACTGCTTTTCAACAGTCAGTACAAAAGTTAGTGAAGCCTAAGCATTAATGTGACAAGAATAACTCCCTCAAGAATAGGCACTGTAGCTGACTTTCACCAGAGAGGACATTGCAGAAGTGCAAATATAAGCACTTGGGGAAGGCTTGTGCCATGGTAATTTTAGTAAAGGACTACAGGTATTTGTGTCTGGTTTTCACTGAGAAATTACTTGATTTGTTTCTGTGTACCATGCAGTCTGAAGCTAAAGACACTTTCTGAGTTATTAGATGACTGCCACATATTTGTACTCATACAACACTATCTTAGATACTGTTTTATTTATTTTTATGCTCAGGTCTTTGCAGTTCCTCAATATTATCAGAAATCCTTGACCTTACAGATTTCTGCTCTCTGTGTTGTGAGAGCACATAAACTGTTCAGAGCAGAGAGATATGAATCAATTCCCCACAAAAGTCTGTACAGAGATCTAGAGTTGTGAGAAATATGTTGGTGGAGCTACTCATCTGTCTCAAAGTTACCTTAGATATTGAGTAGATTTTATAATAGTATAAATATATAAAAATACAGCTGTGTTGCCAAATCATGATGAGAACAACAGTGATCCTGAACTGGCTGCGGTCAATAAATTTTTCATGCCTTTATCAAGGCACTTTTCGGTACTGTGGTGCATCTTAGTGCCTCAAATGAAAATTTAAACCCCAGTGCAAATAAAGAAAAAAGAATCTGCAAGATAATATAAACAACATATTCATGGACCTTTGATTAAAGAAAAAGAAGGCATAGATAGCAAGCTAGACAAAAATTAAGCATACTGTCTGTGGTGAGGTGATTATCTTCTAACAAATGAGGCTGAAATCCCTGCTTTGAATATGATGGAAGCATTCCAAGTTTCAGTGATAAATTCCCTCTTTCCTTTTTATGTGTAGTTGTTCCAGGTAGGAACTTTCCCTCAATGAAAAGATAGGCACTCAGTCTAAAGCAAGTGTGGTAACAGATAAGTAAGAAAAAGTACTCTAAAACTGGAAGAGCAAGTTTTCAAAGTGAAAGGCAGTAGAAGTAGAAAAGCTGAACAAAGGAGAGCAATGAAAGAAGTCAGGTGTGTTGGGTTGGATATACAACAATGTTTCACCAATTAAAACAGTTATTAAAATTAAAAAAAAAAAAAATTGCAGCTGCATTTTTTTTCTGAAAAACTCCTGATACCTTATTAATTAATACTTGAAGAAAGAAACTACCTTCACTTTGACAAAAACTCTGTGGTAGTTTGTAATAGATGCAATTTCTGCATCTCACACACAAAATAATGTTGAAAACTATGTATTGCCCTGTCTGATTATCCTTTACGGTTAATATACATAGTGTCTGGCTAGTCTTAGGTGTAAAAGAAAAACATGCTGAAACGCAGTCCCTGAAGATCACCTTTGCAAGAAAGACAATCTCTTGTGCCTGTAACATATTACAGACCAAACTGAAGGACAGGAAGACTTTTACATCAATAAGAGCTCAAGAACACATTTCTGCATCATCTTACTGTTTCTCTGAGCCACTTTCTTAATTTGCACTATAAATGTTATGAATTAACAGAAAATAAAAGATTTGGGATTTTTCCCTTTTTGTTATCATTGATCCAGATTTTGTTTTCTTTTCCACATTAAGATAATGAATTAGGGTAACAATAACCTTTTTAAAGCAAAATTAAAGATGTTAAAACCTCATGATTAGAACATAAGTTTTAGTAATTTCCTTGAAGTCTGAAATCTGGTTACAAATAAATTAACTTTGACTGTGTTTGGTTTTTGTCCCTAACAGACTCATTTTGATCTGTCATTGGCAAACCTGCCACTAGTAATGTGCCCCTTAGACTCTGAAGACACTATGGAATGTTCCCATGACAATTTGCAACAGTATGGTCTTCTTTTGGTCTCAATTTGTGGTATTGCACTTGAACTGCATTATTACTTAGTAAATAGAGCTACTGTTAGAAATTACTGGAAGATGACAGCTCCATTTTGTGACAATGTCTGAGATTTTAAAATGCATTTATTCAGCTTCAGAGTGAGGAAAAAAAATCCATTTTTTGGTCAAAATGTTTATTTCAAATTTTCAGTCTGACCTCCCCTTGTCTGTTCAGAAACTATCAGAGAGTCGGCCTTGGAAGGCAGAAACCTTTTTATGGCTACCATCACCAAAATCTATGTGTCTAAGAAAATGTTGTTGTTGAAACCTTGCTTTTTGACAGCAAAAATACCTTAGCA